TCCAATTCCCTGTCTACCTGCTTATCTCTGCACTAGCTGAATGATGGTCAGGCCAGGGGTCGGACCGGCTGCTCCTGCTGGATTCTTCTCCATCTGTTGCCCCCATTTGGACCCCTGATTTATCGACAAATTATCGAGCCGTCTCGGAGTTGGGTGCTGGATAACTGGCCAGGATTTCGTCATGGCTGCTGTTTAGCACATATTGGGGCTGAATAGGTAGATTAGGGTGCTTTTTGCTGAGCTTGATTCGCCAGTAACTATCTCCAGCTCCTAGCCTCGTGCCTGTCGCATTGGTCTTACTCGGCGATATCTGACACTAATGGGCAGTCGATAATGCAATCAATGTCGGATTTATGCCGTCGTGCAGTACACCCCTGCTGGAAATTCGGGACTCCATTGCTTTATCTCAAGACCGATAGGGAAGACCTTCCATCTACCCGGGACACCGGAGGTACTTATCAGTAAGTGGCTTCGGAGACACTTGGCATGCATACAGATACAGCAAACACATGATGGGCACATACACTTTTTGTTTGTGGTCAAGACTGCGTCTATGACATACGTGGAAGCTTCCATGGTTGCCTGGTTGTGATCCCTCGTAATGAGACGATTGCTTAGAGCTTGTCGATGCGCCACAACGGCCATGCCAGGTATCATGTTGACATTATTGGGCCGTGCCTGTCTACGGCTGACTGCCGAGTGCGTTACCGAAGTCAAGCTTCCTGGCGTGACCAATGGTGAATAGTGGCTTAACGGCAAATAGATCTTTCAGGGGGATCTGCGACCGTTGGTGTCAATTAGCCGGCTATAGTAGCCGTCAAGGCAAGGGTAGGATGGTTAGGCTGGCCGTTGGTGGGTATACACTCATCCGGACCAACGGTGGTTTCTACTGTGGATCTATAGTAGCTGGAACACGATAAGATGACAAGAATACCCTGACTTTCTCGGGCTTGTAGTTGTATGTTGTTCGTTATAGTGAAGGTAGCGATCTGTACATCAGTCTGAAATATGAAGTTTGATTATTCCAGCACTAAGTGTTACACGGTCCAGCCTAAAGACATGTTGCCGGCCTTCTTTCATTCTAGATATCACAGATGCAGAGTATATACTGATTAGGTTGCTAAGAGGTGGCTTGAACTATTTGTTGTCGAAGAGCACGACGTTGTGCCTGTAGAACCGGCGTCACCTGATCGAGGATGAATAAATACTTCACGGCCACTCCTCTTCTTCTCTTCTTTCACATGCAACCTGTTCGGTCCAGTGACCAGCCTTCCAACAACAGTTTCATCTCTTCCATCAACGATATCACTGTCAAAAAGCATCTCAGCTGTGTACTATCGATTGCTCCAAGCTATCGTGCTTTTGTCTCATTATCTATGGCTATCCTGAAAGGTTGGTGAATCAGTGCCAGCAGATAGCCTGGGAGCGCTCCTCGGAGATTGCTGTCTATTACATCAGCTCTCCTTGCAAGTCTACGAGGTAATGGTAGCGATAGGAAAGAGAATGAAGCTAAGATTCTGACTAGCTAGGCCACTGTCCTTTGAGAATCCCACCATTGTAAGTGTGCAAGGACGTCTTTGAGGATGATCAATACAACGCATCTCGTTGTCGATCAGCTTACCTCGCATAATAATGCCTACTGCGAATACAGCTAATGCAGATCTTGTTCACAGGTCTATGCCACACGAGACACCCGCAGATCTGCGACGTCTTTCAACACAATTCGTCCATAATCCTGTCATGCGTCTAATGCGCTTAGACCCGGATCATGCTCGAGCAGGACTTTCTCTGCTGCTCATGCAACCAGTCTCATGCTATCTCCCCATATCAGTCGAAGGGCGGGGGAGCTGCATCTGCCAGCATCGAACAATGCACATTTGAGCATCAGACTTGGCAAGTTAGGCCCGAGCCCCTTTCTAGTCGCTAGTAGTACGCTACGCAGCTAAAGGATTGAAGCAGGGTTCCTGTCACCCTAAGTCTAGCATGTCTGTTCGCATCTGCAGCAATACGCACTATGAGGGCCAGTTTAGCATAGACTAGACTAGCCGCGGTAGCCAGGTCATTTGGGACAGCTAGCTCCAACATGATACCTACATGCGCTCATGCACGGTCTCTTGCTGCTCGTTAGCGCGGGGGTGCTATGACCCTAGCCACATCATGCTCTGCAGGCCTCGAGTGCAGAGTAAGAGTACGGCGAATGACTAGCAGTCATATCGGAAAGCTCTTGATTCGACGCACTACTATCAATACTTTGGTGGCGGTGATTACTTTTACTGAAATATAGCTCTCCGTAGGCTGCCACTTTCGGAGTGCCGCTTACTACTCAGCAGATGTTCTGGGCCTATCTAGATTGCGCCGGCATACTAAGCTGCAGGGCCGTGCGCGAGATAAGAGCTCATACCACTGCCAACGGTGGCGTTGGATAATAATGGCTGCCAATTTCAGACACGTGAAAGCATTAGTCATTGTACGCTAATATATGAGAACCATGTGATTCTCGTTAAGCAATATACAGTGTTCGGACATCGCCTATAGCGTGAATTGCTGAGCCAATTGCACCACAGGATGCCAGGCTACAAGCTAGTTAGTCTGCAGGGCACTATGGTGCTTGATTAGTGACAACAGATACGAGTATCCCTGTGTTGGTACCGAAAGATACTACAACTGAGCTACGGTGCCTCTCCGAAGTGGAGCGCAATAAGCGGCCTACTTTACCAGAGAGAATAATGGCAGGTATCGCCAAGACCTACGAACATCCTGTATGCAATTCTCGGCTCGAAACAATTAGTTTCTTTGTGGCAATCTACTAAACAACTCAGGTCTAGGAGACAAATACACAGCATAATACAAACCAGCTCAGCTAGTGTAGAAAGCAAGTCCAACACATTCGAAGATGCAAACAATATCAGTCACACCGTTGAACCCAACCATCCAGGATCATGTTCTTCAGAACGGTTGAAAACAGTCCCGAATTGGAGAATTCACAGTATCGTCTCTTCTCCTCCCCATCGACATCTTCATTGTCATTTCTGTCACTACCTTTCGGGTATTCCATATGGAAGATAGGCTTCCCAGCCCTTGCAAAAGAGGCATACAGATCACACTCGTGTTTATCCGCACATTCTTCATTGACGCTCCACTGCACGTTTGCAAGAACCTGAGGAATAACGTCTCCTGCGTTCTTCAGCCCCATAGCAAGACCCCGGCTATGCGCCTCTCCAGCCAACCAATTGATATAGTTGATGGAATCCTGTTTCGTCAGACGAAAACCAGTGTCATTCCCATATCCATCAACATTATCTGGATCAACACCATCACAGCCTATCCGCTGTGCTCGATCCAATCGGGCTGCCATGATGCGGCGCACTTGAGGATGGCGAACATCCAACCATCTTTCCGAAGGCCAATCGCGAAGGGGATTACCCAGCGCTTCTTCTGGAAACGAGGCACTATCTTTCTTGTGTGGTTCATAGCTTCCAGCGGAAAAGTAGCAGATCACTTTGTGGTTCTGCTTATGGAGTGAGTCAATGGTTCTAGGCTCGCTGCTCCACATGTCGATGTCATAGATTTCAGTGGCGGGAGCAGGAATAAGTACATTGGTGGAGAGCACGATGTCCCATGGAGCACCAACTCTGGGCTGCCAGATGTTGCTCGTGGTTGAGCGGGGGATGGTAAGACCTTGGGCCACGAGGGCGAGGAAGAGAATCAATATGAGCATGCTGACTTCGAAGCGAGCTCTTAAGGAAAAGGAGAGTCTGTGATCAAATTCAACAATAGAGACAGGAAAGTCACGACTGTGCATGGGGTAGAGGAAGAAGGAGAAAGAGAACCGAAGCACCAGCGCCCATATATAAAGCTGGACATGATTGTATTCACGCACCAGACGGCACGATGCTATCAAGTGCATCCCCACATGGCGCCACGTGCATGCTGTCATGGTGAAAGAAACAGAGGCTTCACGAACATGGTTTAGACTATCACTGTTACAGCCATTATGGTCCTGAATCTCCCGACCGAGGACTTACCAGTCAATCATGTCAGAGATTGCCGGGTCTAGGGAAGTGACTTGAAGCTACATGCCGCCTGTGAGAGCTAGCTATTCTGTAGGGTAGTCAGAACTTGGTAGGTCGAGTTTTCACCCGTTTTCTTTGTCAGTGCATGTTAGCATGAATTAGACAAGATTGATTGTAGCTTGGCAGGGTATTTAGAATATTACTGTTATTCGATACTACTATGCAAGACTACATACCCCTTATAGACATCATCTCACAAACTATATAAAGTTTCAAGGAATGAATAGCAATACTATATGGAACATGTCATATATGAGTGATCTAACACATCACACACCAACTTAATGACATCTCTCCCTGTGTAACCTCACAACGAATAACCACCTTTCTCAAATCCCCATTGACACATCACTAATTTAAATCCCCCGTCCTGATCAATCCGTTAGGAAATTTGTACCACGAGCCTAGAAGTCAAATCTATCATTATTGTTGTTGATCTGCATAGCCGCCACAACAGTTAATAATGTTACACTGTTTCAAATCAGCACAACACATAGCATGGTGAGCCGTTATCGATTATGCTTATTTCTGATCAAGGTGTACTCTCCTGGATTTTTGGGATTATCAGGTGATTATTGGTGAATGATGTTTCAAATCTGATTATATATTCACTGTTAGTATGTCTCATAAATAGCAGGTTTCTTATTTGGTATCCAGTCACAGACCTTGGAGTTCTGGCCATCATATGAAAGGATAAGTGCATTACCATATACTTACTAGTATACTATGTATATTAGCGCTCCGATATTCCGCTCTACAGGACTAAGTATTGAATGGGGAATAGACCGACCCTGTCTAGTCAGTCTGTATCCCCTATCGTAATGTTTACTAGTGGGCTATTACACCACTCAGAATCACATCTATCAATGACTAGTACTTTTTATCTATAGAACATATTCAATATATACCTACCATCACTACCACCGCCCAAAAAAAAAGTAAAGCAAAAACATGACACTCATGATCATTATCATTACCAAACATACACATACATAAACAGTAACCTATATACATACCCAATCCCATATACCATACCACACCGTATAATCTCATCTCATCGATAAACATTAATCCTAAACTTCTGCAACTCCCTCGGCGACGGCAACACAATCACATCAGGACTATCCGGCGGCACAGCATACTCGTCCGGCGGAGGACATAACCTATCTGATTTCATCCCAGCAGCAGCACCATTGCCCACAGGCGATCTCGGACTCCCCACCCTCAGCCGACTATAATACGGGTGATTATGATTATGGTGAAGGTGGTGGTGGATCTGAACCTTTAGCGTCGAGCTGCGCGCCTCTCTATCTTTCTCACATGACGTTGACGTTGATGATTTGACTATCTCCGTATCGGACATTGTTCTCAGCGGTGTAGGTTTCGGCTTCGTCGCGATAGCAGTGGTAGTAGTAGATGTATCAACATGCAGATTAAGTTCCTTGCGCAGCGAGGGGGGTATATGCGCTTGTTGCGGGGGTAGTGGAATATCTGCATTCCCCTTTGATCCTGCCTCTGGTAATGGGTGTGGATGTGTGTATGCCGGCGGCGGCTGAGATTCCTCGTCTGAAGGGGAAATCTCTATTGATAATGACTGTCTCTGTCCGATTGGGATCGGGGTTCGGGAGAAGAGCGTTCGGAGAGTGATGACGGGATCGTGCTGGATTCGGAGGACGATGAGGGTGGTGAGGATTATGGTGAGGAGGATTGCTCCTGTATTATTATTATTATTATTATTATTATGATTATTATTGTTGTTAGGGTGTGTGGGTGGTAATGAATGGGGTGATTGATGATGGATGGACGTACCTAGTATGCCGAACGCTAGACCTACTTTCGCCTGGACGGTGAGGTCTGATGTTGTTGATGAGTCGCTGCGCGAGATGTATTTGTGGATGTGGTGGAGGACATGACTCGTAGACTTGGACATTTGCTTGGTTGATTAGGTAGTAGTAATTATTATTATTGTTGGATTGGATTATTGAGGTATAATGATAGATGTAATAGCATCACAGACCAGCTGCGCACAGAATCAAACCAATGTAACAAACAACACGAAGGGAAAGAAACGAAAGAAAGAAGGAAGAAAAAAAGGTAGTTGATATATCACTCCCCCTCCCCACTCTAAAATACCAACAAAAGGGTACGTAGCTTGCACCTCTAGTCTAAAATCTTGGATAAAAAAAAGCAGGGGAAAAAAAAAGATACTTTTTCTCCTGAAACCAGGATGAAAAAAAGGTGTTGGTAGTATGTTCGGCATTTTCATCCCGGCTTATTATTCCAACCCTAACTAGTTAACTAGTCTAACTAACGGGGCAATCAAGACGAGACACCGGCTTGGAAACGAACTTGTCTACGTTGAACGTTGAACCAACCCCCCTAATAGAGGGGAGGGGTCTAGGCGGTTCCATAGAAACTTTACTTCGTACTTTAGTAGTCAGTTAAGGTAGTTTACTTTGTTTCTTCCTGTCTGGATGATCGACTCGGGCTAGTCGGTAGTTTGTGAAACGGCGGATCATTGGAATGACTCGGATAACCCACTCCATTTATTATCTATGTCTGTCTGTCTGTCTGTGCTTCAGTACTTTACTATATAGTATATACTAGGTATGAATAATAATATTATTTACTCTATGAATATAAATAGCCATACACTTCATAAATACTACTATGTATATAATATCTACATCAAACAAAGGACCCCTCCTTGGCAACGGAACGGATTCATTCATTCATTCTCATTCTTCATCCGTCCCATGCAAAGTGGATCCCCCGTGGATCCAATTCCTTTTCCCCGGGTCTTGGCCGAGAAGGGGAAAGAAAGAACCTGAAATAAGGGGCTTTAACTTTTTCTGCAGAGACCTGAATACGGACTGTGGGTAGACTCGTGATCAATCAATACTACGAATCCATGCTCTGATCTAAATGGTCTGGTGATGGTGTCCACTCAATAACGGGGTTTCCAGTTTTTTACTTATGTATAGTCTGCTGAAATTCTTGACACATACTATCTACGTAGTTACTGAATACATAGCTAGCTAGCTAGCTGAGAATGTTTGTTTGGTCCGAGGTTTGGACTTAAGCAGATTAGATCTTACATGTGCTCGTGTTCATGTTCGTCTCATACTGCCGCACCACCCATATGCTCAAACGAACCTGCTACAATGTAGGAGCTAGCTAGATGTGCCATGGTTGTGCGTGGCTCCCACGCGGCATATGGATTGATGCCATAAGGTGTCAGTAATAGTTAAATAGACTGCCAAATTCAGTTCCCATACCTTCATCCACTAAATACCTGTTGTTGTCACCATTTCCACCTACCGTTTTCTAAACGCCTCAAATTAATGCAAAGACTCCGTATGGCAGCGAGGTTCTCCACCTACATCAGAGAATATCTCGGACATGAAACAAATTTGAGATTACAGAACACAGTCGTGAAAAACAAGTCAAACCTCATAATGCGGGCTGCGCGGGTTGGGGTATTGAAGATACGGATCATAATGGTTGTCAAACAGAGGTAGAGGGGCCTGACCATGGAGATTGTGCATGTTCCTTAGGATCTTCGCGATGGATTCATCCAGCTCCCGTTTGCGAAAGATCGTGGGTTGCCTTTTCGATAGGCGAAGAACATAGATGGGAATCAAAGTTTTGCATTCATGTGCAGTTTCATAGTTATAGTTGCTATGGTTGAGGTCGAGTATAAAGTAAGAGTGCTTCCCACGGCAAATTTTGGCGGCAACAAAACGAGTCTCATTGCCTGAGTCAAATCCTCGGAGGGACTCCTCAGTCTCTGTAACAAATGGACGTATGGATCCTAGGAAATCCTCAGGATCAAGAATACTATTTGGAGTATCACCAAGTATTCGTATCGTGTCTGAGCCGACATCGGGTGGAAGTTGAGAGAGGACCACTCGGATTTGGCGAAGATTGCGTTCGCGAAGCTGTTTGGTTGAGTCATCCATGGGTGAGGAGTGGTGTGTTAGGGGATTTAATATTATGTGAGTGTGTGAACATTGCTGGCCTTGCATCTTAATAAAGGCATACGCAGAAGGATTAATGATTGTCCGTGTTCCTCACCAACCAACCGATGGTGCATCTGGCCAATAAGTGATGGCGAACAGACTCTACTGTTAAGAGATTCGTGAACTATGGAATGACCTCCATATCTAGAGTGAAGGATACGTCTAGAATTAAAGCCACGCCCCTCACTATCCCGACTTAGACTTCGGTTCACGAACCATACAATAGAGCTATCCCAAGTTAGCCAACCATCTGATACAACACCCCGTTTCACCGCCACACCCCTACTCCTCCACAGAACATGTAAATAGATAGTAGAAGCGGACTCACCATACAAACATCCTCCCCATCCCTACACTCCATCTCCCTCCTCATCTCAAACCCCATCTTCTCATAAATCTGCACATTCGGCACATTCCTCGAACTCTCCAAATAACACTTGACTCCCTCCTGATCCGCCCGATCCGTCACCGCCTCAAAGAGCTTCCTCCCCACCCCCAGACCCTGACATTCCGGATGCACCGCCACAATATTGCAGAAATAGTATCCCTTGGGATCATCCCAGATCTGGCTCTGCGCTTCATGCTGCCGCTCCTTCCAAATCCAGTAGCGGTTGGTGCGAAGTCCGCCCCGTCCGAAATGCCATACGTTGTTGAGCATCTGGCGAAAGCTGAGAAGCCAGTTTTGCGTCCAGCTGTACCATGTCTCTGGTGTGTGAGCCGAGGTAGGTGGGAGCCAGCAGGAGACGCCCACTATCTTCTTCTTTCCTCCTCCTGGGGATGATCTTGATGTGTCTGTCGCAACTTGGAAAATGGCATTGTTGATCCCCCAGCGACATCGCACCGCTAGGGAATCGTGATTGCGCTGCTTGTTGAACTATTTCATTTAGAAATGAAGATGAAAGGTTCCCATACTGGTCGGTTTGGGGGAGGTTACCCCCAATCCGACCGCGGTGATGGGAAGGTTGGGAGAATTGGTTAGCTCTTGGTGCCTTTATCTTGATCATTCGTGATCATCACCTTACACGCTCAGGGTCTTCTACTAACCCCGTTCGGGTTATGTTTTATCTGGTGACTGACGGACTTACATTCTCAGCATCAAACACCCACTTGAAATACGGATCTTCCGCAAATGCCGTCTGAATGATCTCAATGGCGGCGGGGATATCTGCCTCGGTGAGGTCTGTTACTTCGATGGGCATTTTTGCTCTTTGCCTTTTCTCTGATCCTTAGGGTTCCCCTGTTCACATCTTAGATACTTATATACTAGTAGTTGTTGATGGTAGTTACTTACCTGCAGCTCAAACCTCTCAATGGTAACGAACAAGTGATATTTTTTTTCGAAAATTGAAGTTCCACTTGAAAGCGGTGTAGACTGGAACGTGAGTGATATGATACTATGGAGAAGATATGACCTGTTCTAGTCTTCGTGCAAGGAGAAAAACGGAATAGCACGAGGTGGTGGTACAATCAATAAATGCAGGTGATGATGGCGTCAATCAGATTTAAATACTTTGGACTAAAGTGGATAAGCGCCGAAAGAGGCAGCTCTATGCGGGCGGTGCGCCACCACGGGCGGATTTCTACTTACTATCTATATCTACTTATCAGTATCCCGTCCAGTCACTTGCTGTGAGCTTTCACCGCTGCTTCATTAGGTTCATGTCTTTCGTTCTAGTACTATATGGTTACGGTTTATTGAACTATACCGTAGGCAAGGGAGGCACTATTCAGTACGTATAACTCAATCCATGCATCTGCTGTATCTGCTACAGCTGGTATCTAAACATAATATGAACAATATGTATATAGTATGACGAACGAGGAAGATCGCTCAATCAATGCCACAAATACATCCCGGTTCCTCAGGCGCCATATCCAATCAGACCAGATAAATTAGACAGGGAGCCAACCTACGTTGCTCCGAAAGGATCAAACGCCGGTTGTATCACAAACTCCCTCCGTCCTCTAAAACAAAAAAATACAATCCTCATAGCGTCGTAAATGCGGCTCGTCGGTTAGACGGCCGACTCCTCCAGACGTACCCATTCCCGTGGGACGTCCATGCTGCGGTTCACGCGGCCCCCTGGCGTGAGAGGCACATCAACTCGTCCGCGGCCCCGATCATCATCGGCATGTTCCTCGTAAAAGGATAACCGTGAGAAGTAGTCCTGCAGCACCGATTCTCGGTCGTTGTCCCCAACGATGGAGTTATACTCCGGAGGCGGCGTCACGAGTGGTGGTGGTGGCGGGACATCTTCAAAGGCGGGCGGTGCAAATGATGGCGCCCGCAGAAGATGCATCGGTCGGGGCGCAGGGTGTCGATCGGTTGGCTCATCCGCCAAATGGGCCTGGGGAGGTCGAGCCAGCCCACCGGAACCATTAGTGAAGCTTCTCGCAACTGCGCCGCCGAGGGGCACCTCGTCCCGATCAGAAGACAACGACTGCCGGCTGGAGCCGTTTCGAGAACCATTCCTGTTGACCGGCGGCGCCCCCGGACAGCCACATTCATACTCCTGAGCCTGCGGCGGCGGCTCCGAGTCGGGCGAAGTGTATGCGGGGAGGTAGATATTCGCTTGTGTAGCCTTGCAAGAAAGCAGGTGGAATGGAGAGTCGATCGAGATCTCAAAGTGTCTTCGCTTGCCCGAATCCCGTTCGTCAACCTTGGACAGCCGCAGTACAATCTATTACACGTTAGTATCGAGCGAATCCTACGAGGTGTGGAGTAGAACATACCTTGATCCAGTGGTTGATTTGAATGTTCTCATACGTGGTGTCAAAGTGCAGGCGCTGGGACTCATCCCGGTTGCGCATCTCCTGGCAACTGGGAAGCTGAACATTGAACTCCATCTCAGTCGGGCCAACACCCGCGTCGCTGGAGAGATTGCCAAGGAGGTTGGTCCGGTTCCGATCGACAATCTCCTCGCCCCTCGCAGCAGCCGCGCGACGGTCCCAGTCGATGCCGCCACCGGCCGTCACTCGCATTGAGCTTCCCGGGTAGGTACTGGTACTGGCCGAGTCCGCCCGCTTCTCAAAAAGCAGCACCTTCTTCGCTGGTTGAAACCGATGGACGCTCTTGTCTGCAGTCCAGTGCTGAATGTTTTCGGTCACATACACCTTGATCCGGTGGCACTCAACCTTCGCCAACGGCGTCAACTTGAACGCGATGGGAACCTGCGATCCAAGAGGAAATGACTTCCCCGAGATGACAATGTCATAATGCAGCTGGTCTTCCCAGTTTCGCGAGATGGCGATTGGCTCGACCTGCTCCAACGAGCCCTCTGCTGGCGTGCGGATGACCGGCACTTCCAACGTACCGAGCAGATTGGGGCGAAACGCACCCGACCGTTCCACAATCGCTTCAAGATCGTAGCGAACAGACCCCAGATCGGTCTTGATCGTCTCGGGGAGAGATCCATCGATGGGAAACTCAAAGCTATACAGATAATCACCGACGGGAAACAACCGGTAGTTGCGCTGAGTGTGAACCGGGGGCGGCGGGGCGTCATTCTTGCTCAAACTGCGCGAATGGTTGGATTGCAAGGACAGTCGCTTCAAATCCTTGGTTGTCAGTTGGCCGTTCTGGCCCAACGAGGTCGCCGAGCCGGTCTTGGAGAGCAACTCCCGGGTGCTGGTGGTCGGCCCATCCTTGCCCGTCACCGACGTCACCGGTTTAGCGTGCTGGTAGAAGTGCGCGCCGTAGTCATTTTGCATCAGCGCAGTATCTCCATGGTTAAAGTACATGACGCCATGTGTGACGAGGTCTTTCTTGTCGTGAAAGTGGACTTTCTTGGGCGGAATCCCTACATGAGACAAAGAGTTAGTGGTGACGCTACCTGGGGTAAGAACAATGGGATGTAACATACCATCTGGCCAATCGGTCTGGGCATGTCCGCGGAAACAAATGGAGATCTTCTTGACTTTGACACTCTTGGTAATTTTGAGATGCAGCTGCCCGCGCAAAATGGCGGACTTTTTGGTGCTGGGATCGTTCTGATCATAACCCTGAAGAAACAAGACGGGTTCGGTGAGCGCAACACCAACCGTTATGCCACTGCCGGTCGCCACAATCTTCTCATTGCGCAGAGTGGGAAACGGCACCGATGGATCCGCCGCCGGGATTGCCGGTTGAGCCGAAATCGGGGAAGGCTGGGACGCCGACACGGTCGACGAAGAGTGGGAGCGCAGCCTGCCCGTCCTCAAACCTGTGCTGGCAAGCATTTGTGCATCATCGGGGGACAACAGGATCTCAGACACGGGGCGAGGGCGATGTGTTTCGGGCATTGAGGGAGTGGGAGTGGGTGGCGTCAGTGTAGTAGTCGGGTGGATAGGGGTCCCCAGGCGGAGGAATCGCTTTGCGTTTTCCCGCGGACCCGCCAGTTTGCTAAGTATGGACGCGCGCCGCCGATGGCCAGGCCGTGGAACTTGTTCGACCGCAACAGTGTCGCCAACTACACTGGAAGTTTCTAGAGACCGACGATTATCGGAGCGAAACCTCAAGAGACTGTGGAAGATGGGCACAGAATCGGGGGTGCCACAAGAAAGGTGGGAGACCGCACTAGTTGTAGTGGTCACGGAACCGGATAAATCCTGTTCTAGATGGGAGATGTGAGTCGTCATCGTGTAAAGCACCAATCGAAGAGCATTATTTGCCAGACGCAATGGAGACCCTAAGGTAAAACAGAGAAAAAAGAGGAAAGACAAAAAGATGACTGCGGGATGTCCGGATAGGCTGGTTTTCAACCACGGGTAAGACGGATATAGAGAGGCGCAGGTGAGGCAACCCAAGATGGATGTAGTATGCTGGTTGCTGAAGTATAGAGGGGAGAGATTACACCAATATTGCGAGGGATGTCACCAAGGGAGACGCAAGGTAGAAGAAGTAGAGTAACAAAGGAAGATAGGAGGAAGGAGAAGAGAGAGAGAGAGAGAAGTAAAAGGAG